GTTCAACAGAAATACCACAGCACTAGTTATTGGGAAGGTGCATTTCTACAAACTGCCAAATTGCTGTCATTTGTCCAGTTATGTGTAATGTACAGTGTAGCGTTATTTAGCTGATATTTTTAACAAAATCATTTCGTTTTTTATCGAGTGATTCAACCTAACACTACTGCATAACACTACTAACTTTACTAATCATTTACTACTAACTAACGTGGTTTTTCCCTCTCCTCTAATGCCACAGAGATACACAGCAAAACACCATTTAAAGTACCTGAAATCTGCGCCTAAAGTCTTCGGTCGTGGACCTATTTGAGTGACTATAAATTTAATTTCATGTGGGTGTTAACACTTAAATATCTTGCGCATCCATGTGTGTTTACATTTGCTGTCACTGGAGCAGCTCCATACAGGAGCGCCTTCCGATGAGAAGCGGGATTAATGTCATGGTTGCTTGGTTTCATTGGAAGAGCTTTGTTTATATTCACTCACTGTCACTGTCCTGAGGAAACCCTGCACCTATATACACCAGGTATGAGTTCAGTTATCTGAAATTAATAACAACTGCTCGACTGTTAATACATTAATGCCTTTTTATTTTACATATTTCACAGTTCATTGTGAGTGTCGGCACTTGGTCTCGTGAATAACGTGAAAATATGTGTGGCACAGTCCTTTTTTAGAGGGCAATATGTTTAATTTCATAATTAACCCATGGTGGCCCTTTAACTATAGAAGCTCTGCCCTGATTATTGAATTAATTTTTAATGCCCTGCCATGCTCTGAGTCCGCAGTAACTGATGCTTTTATGTGTGTGTCAGTTTGAAATGGCAATAAGAAGTGGGACAAACCCTCTCTGCTCTTCTTGTTAGAAACGAGAAAAACATATTCACCACACGCTCTTCTTGTAGTGTGACTGGCCTCTGCTTTCACCAATACATACTAGTGAATAAGAGTTAACAATCACTGTACTTTATATGACTCAACTAAACCATCAGTGCATTACAATCACTAACCTTGCATGAAAGTTTAATGTGTGTTTTTTTTTTATTTTTTATGTTTTTAGGTAGTAAATCAAATAAATCACTATAGAGGATTTCTAATTGAATGTTAAGTGTTTTTGTGAACTGATTTTCTTTTTCAAAATGTTCTGACATATGCTGCATACGCTGGTTTAAAGTACAGTTGTAACAGCTGCTACTTAGTGTCTCTTGTTGTTATAATTTCTACAGTAAATCACCGCATGAGCAAACGAAGGCTCTAAACTATAAATTAAAGTGATATTTCTCGCACAATCAAACAGTGTTTTCAGCATGAAACATTCAGACTCTGCAGACTGGAGAAGTAGCTGCTGAAAATTGTAGTTTCCTTCTCCACAGAGAATAGAGGCTGCGTCAGTGATGATTCACAGTGATTGCAACTGATTCTATCATATCCAAAGTCTGAAAATGTATCCTGAAATCCTTCCAGTGTAAACAGCTTCTCCACTGTCCATCCTCTCTCTTCAGTTTGCTCAATAAGTTCCTCTATAAACAAAAACCAGTCTAACAGCTTTACATTTCTGTTCACCTCTCTTTATCTTCACTAAATGTGACAGTTAACTATCAAACTTTTCTACTCAGCTCTGCTCCATTTTATAAAGGGAAGTACATACAGAAATCCTCCTGGCCCCAAACCTTCTAGTCAAACAAAATGTTGAGTTTAGCCCAGTCTCTGAAATCTTGAATTAATATATGTATATATATAGATATATCTATATATATATAGATATATATATATTGAAAACTGTGAAGACTGGTTGAACAGATCACCTCCACATCCTCACCTTTCAGCACCCCAACTCCCTGCACTGGTGCTGAATATTGTCGTTGGTTGGTAAACCATCTGCTGTAGATATCATTCAATATGAGCATCATTCCTGTGGTTACTGGGAATATGAATGTTAAGAACATGCTGAGCGTAAGGATGTACAGCAGAGGACGTTTCTGTGAACGTGTGCTGCTGCTGCTGCTGCTGCTTTTCAAGTCCACACAGAATGTAGATTTTGGGTTTGAGTGTCAGTTTAAACACAAAATGTTATTTACACTTTCCACTGATAACCCCCTATTTCCCTCCTGTGGACTAATCAATAGCAACAATTTGATTTCTGAGGTTTACAGCTTTAGCAGAGATGTGTTCTCTTATCAAATCTTCATCATCCACAGTTAAAAAATGTAAATTCTTTTTGAAGACAAATAAAATGCGATTCATGTTTAACGTAATAATAGAACTGATTGGATCAGCTTCCCTAAGAAGTGAATGCTATTGATCATTTGACATCGCACAATGTAACAATCACTTGAGTTGCTTTCCCATGGCACAAAAAGGCTCGGCCCGTAACAGGCACCTTTTGAAGAGTTTGAATTGATATAACTGTGTATTCAACTCTTTCACTGAAGTAAGTGTGTAATTCAGCTCTTTCAGCTTTTCTGGCTTTTATCCCAATTTCTTGCCATTTAAAAAAAAAAAAAAAGTCTGAGGTTTGGATTGGGTAGCAGAGTGGCTGCCTACATTGATGGCAGGTTCTGATTCTTGCAGATTACGTAACATCTGATTAAAATAAAATAAAAAAGAGCCTTTCAAACCCTTCTGGAGCCTGAGTGATGAGATAAGAAAACACTAGTCGAAGCTCCTTATAGGCCAGGTGCACTTAAAACAGCTTAATTTGCCATTTTTGTGGTCAAACTGAAAGACAAAATAAAAGTCAGTAACTGGTGAGTTAGAAATATTAGCAGTAAATAAATGATTCCTATTTAATTTTAAAGATATGTTGACTTAATGTGTCGGATCAGTGCCAAACACTGTCAACAGGCAGGATCTGAAATGATGAAGTCTGGCGTACATAGCGAGTGCATTTTAATAAGGTGCAGTAACATAAGGCAGCAGAGCAGGATAAGGGAGCGGCAGTGTGGACATAACTGTAACGGTATGACAAGCAACACCCAGAAGTTTTCTATCCTGGGAGAGACATGTGTTGGTAGGGTGCAGACAATTTAATCAGCGCTGCCACTGCCTCTCTTTTTCTCTGATGAGGGCATGCTTTATGTCAAAACATTAATGGCTGCATCTTATTAAACAAACTGATTATAAACCGTGTGCTCCAGCCCTCTTCACTCCAGATCCTGCCTCATTCTTATTCCGCTGTCAATCGGCACTATACTCTTTCACATGTAATGGATTACATTATCACAAGCCTGAGTAATCTGTCCAGTGCCTCTCCACCCTCAAACTCAGTAAGCAGTGGGGAAAAGAAAGTACTATACTGACTAATTTAAGCTACTTGCACTTTACTTGGGTACATCCATTTCCTGCTGCTTCACACTTCTCTACTACACTTAAGAGGGAAATATTTTATTTTATTTCTTTGACAGCTATAGTTACTAGTTACTTTGCAGAAAAATATACATAGAAAATGAATGGAGGTCCATGTAGCAGTACTTGAGGAAACGGACATCCTGTTCTCTGTATTTATATTAGAAATTTTAGGTTTCAGAAACCTGGGATGAGTTGACTATATTCGAATTTGACTAATTTGACCAAATAAAAATATTCTCACTAGAATTTTGTTAGGAGCATGGAGAAGGCTTTGAAGGAGCATTTAGACTTCTGTGTAATGAAAATGACAGATATGTGTTTAAAAAAGCAATAACTGAATAAGTCAATATGAATAGTCTATATAGAGTAATTACAGAATTTTATACACTATAAAGACAATGAGGAAGTCTCATGATCGCATTATTTACAGAGTATTCTGACCTTATATTGAACCTGATTATATACTACAACCACACATGGTATCTAGGATTAGCACCACTTCCACCAGCTACAACACTTAACTAATGCTTACGTGTCACTGAAATGCTATTTTCATTCACATCAGCAGTTTTATATTTTACTGATAACACGTCTGTATGTTTACTTCAATAAAATTTCGAGGGCATGATTTTTACTTGTAACTTTATAGTGTGATTTTTGCTACTTTTACTTATGTGAAGAGTCTGTGTGTCTCCTCTGCCCCTGTCAGTGTGTGTATTATAGTTGGGCGACATAACACAACAATGCACAATGCAGTTTGTGTGTATTTCCTAGAACTGCTGAGCCATGTTGGTGGTTGAACTTGATCTGTAGCCTAGTTGTTTCATCTGGTTTTCAACTCCAGCTGGCTGTGACCTCCATTTAATGACGAATGTAATACAACATGCATAAATCAGGATGTCAGTTGTTTGTTTTTTTAAAATATACTTTTAAATGAGTTTAACCCTTTAAAGTCTGTCGTCTGTCACAAAGATTGGAGTTTAAGTGAGTTTTGTGCAGGGTTTCTTCCCTTTACATCCAATAACTCACCTGAACTTTGTTAAATGGGGAGCATTTAAAACCCACATGTCACATGCACCACATGGGACCCTGTTGATATCGGTTGTAATGTCTTCCTCCTTGTTCACCCGTCACATGCGTTTCTCCAGACGTGTTTTTACAGGCTGCTGGTAGACTGGTCGTGGTTTGGTCACGACAAATGACAGAGTGAGGCTGTCTGTCTGTCTGTCTGTCGTAGCGGGGGGTGGAGTGAAGGGGAGGGGGGGACAGTAACATCCATCGCCCATGATGTAGCTCCGTGTGTGTTAATGTAGTGGAACCAAGTTACCTCGAATACTGCAAATATTTAGTTTCTTATCCCCGCTTCACAATAAACAGCTGTTTGTCCGTCATTGGAGGACGGGGGTGTCAAGCGAGGCCGGTCCGTATGGCAATTGGTTCAGATTAAGTTTTCTGCAAATCGGTGGAAGCCCAACCAGGAAGAGCAACACACATCTCGCAGGCAGCGCCACCGACCGTCCTCTCTCCACTCCTCCCCAGCTCTCCCAGTTACGGAGCTCTGCCATCGCACCAGTCCGGCTTCACTCCCCCCCCACCCCCCACCCCTCCTCCTCCTCCTCCTCCTCCTCCCCTCCTCCCCTTCACCAGCAGATTTGTTCGACGGTTCCCGGCTGGCAGGAGGAAGCGTGTCGGCGAGTCGTAAGTTACCACCTCGAAATTTTTTGTTGCTATTTCGCCCTGAATGTTTGAAGTTGTTCCGACTGCCCAGCCGTCCAGAGAGGAGCGCAGAACCCATTTTTCGCTTCGTGCACCAGAAGCGATTCGCAGGGGCTGCTGCTACGTGCCATATCCTCCCAGGGCTCAAGTAGGACTATGATCAGAACAGCCACCGTGTCGGTAATGAGGAATCCGTTTAGAAAATGTTAGGCTATCAGGAGGGGTGACTGCCCTTTTTATTTTGCTTGGTGTGTGTATGTGTGTGTGTATTCGGGTAGCCCCCCCCCCTCCCTCTCCAGCCCATATTTAGAGCCTGGCTGGCTACTTCAGATGGGCAAGCTACGTCAAGCTGTACTGTATCCCATCCTACTGTATTCCTCAGCCACTGTGTGTGTAGTATAAATGTATGCATTTAGGTATGCGTGTTTGCGGATGGTGTTGTAGATCGAGCCCAAGGCTGCGGTGCAAGTCTAAGAAGAAAAGAAGGAACAGTGACCTAATGTTTGAAATTCTTGCAGTCTTTTATCTCCTCATGATAAACCTCAACATGCCAGCGCCTCGTGTTCAACCTGCCTGTCACCAGCTGTGACATGGAAAATGTAAATGAAGAGCCCTCTCTCAATCTGATCCCAGCTGGTTATTTATTTTTGATGTGTGTCTTTGAGCCGGTGTGCTGGCTCTACCTGAAAGTTCAAAGCAGAAACACTTAAAAAACCAAGTGGATGGTGTATTAATTACAGGTGTAATATCGGCTGATGACGCGTCCGTGATTGTTGCATGCACAGCCATTGTTACCATGTGATCTGGAGCAGAGTTTGAGCTTTATTCTGCAAGGTGTCTCTCATGTTGCTTATTGGTTGGCTAATGCAGTGTTTCCTGAACATGACTGGCTTGTGACCCTTTCCAATGAGGCACTGTGACCCCTTGTTGTATGAGTTGTGAAAGGTGAAGCCAAAAAGTGATCTGTCCTCGTCAGATATGTCTTGTTTGAAGGATTTTTAGAGGGTCACAAAGGGGAAAATGTTCGGTATTTCACAAGAAAAGGAAACAAATGAGGGACTGTACGAAAATTATTTGCGGAGAGAGGAATCTAAAATAAGAGGGTGCGTTGTGTATTTTAAGTTTTTTGATCAAGGCAGGGTAGGCTATATATTGGGGGATGGAAGGTGTTTCAACTATTTTTCAACGCATAATTATATATATATATATTTAATTCACTCTGGGGTGAAAATATTGCACTGTTAAATTCACAAACAGTTTTGGTGCCCGGGTCTGGTTCACTCATTCAGTGGCTGTTATAGGCCTGACCATTAAGCTGCTTTTAATTCAAAATAATAATAGTGGTTGTATTTTAACTATTTTGTTATGGTTGCCATGGATATATTAGTTTTAGAAATTGAGGGAAGGGGGTCCAAGCAAAATGTCAATGACACTGCGGAAGCTCTTGCTTTTGTTGTAAAATAAAACATTTGATTGAGCTCACCTCATCACCTGAATAACATTGGTACAGTGCCTTAGAGAAAGTTAAAAAAAAAAACATGGTAACGCTTTATTTTAACCCCCGACTTATGAGTTATAAGCAGTACACTTATAACACACTGCAATGTAATTGTAGTCAGATATAAAGACTTTTAAATAGTGTTTATTATTGTAACTACAGCATTCATTACTGGTCTATTAACAGTTAATGAATGTTTGGTAACACTGTATAACACAGTTGTAATCATATATATGATATACAATAGTTGTGAATACCGTTATGAACCGGCCTGTGATTGAATTTTACTCTATAGTTTTGGTGCCATTCTCAGGGTGATAAATCTTTTGTAGGCATTTTATAATAAATAACAATTCCAGGATAAACACTTTAAAATGTGCCGTACATGTGTACAAACAGTTAACAAATGCCTTACAACACACTGTATATTGTTATAATCCAATATATAGCTATCATTTAATTATTATTCATGATAAACACATAGAATGGATTTATCACCCTGAAAATGGAGCTAAAAAAAGTGAAACTATCTACTAGAATTAAAGTCACTCGCAGTGAGTTAAGAAATGCATTTGAAGCCACTGAAGACAGGATTATATTTATAGGCCTAGAACTATGTTTCACTGTGTTAACAAACATTCTCTAACTGTTTATACACCAGTTATGGATGATTTATATGAAGCGTTACTGTTGTTACCAAAACCATAAATAAACACTTAAAACATCTGTTTGCAACACATCTCCGTCGTAGTATCTTTATAAATGTCATAGTGTCTTATAAAACATTATTAATTGTTCATGTAGTGCTCCTCAATGTAAAATAAGGGAATTAAAATGCAGTTTTACCACAAAAATACCCGGTTTTCAGTATCAGATGATCTCTCTCATCTCTTATTGAACTCCTTAGATTTATCTTGACACCATGGGGAGGTCCCAAGCCACCGTTTGGAAACCATTAGGTTAATACATTAAACTTGTGGCCTGTTATCACAAATAGGCCTACATGTTTGTGTACTACTTTCAAAGTGACTTGCAATGTGTTTGTCATATTCACATTTGTGTTTGGAGTGACTGCTTTGTGTTGCGTGACACATTATTGTTTCTGTACGTCTAAACTAAGAGACTTACTAAAATTGAATTGCAATTTTAGAGGAGACAAAAGATAAAAGTAAGAATTGAATTTCAATTGTGTGTCCTGGTGCTGTTGAATCATTATTTAAATCCGTGTGGGTTGCTGTTTTGCTCACATATTCTCCAGAGTCTTTAGAGATCTTGCAAGTCTTATCATAAAAAAGGATCCTGGTGAGCCTGCTGTTTGATGCTCTAAGAGGAACTGATGATCTGTTTTCTAACCAATTAGAGACGGAGCGCAGGGCCATTGATCTTCCTATAAATGTGAAATTACTTCCTGAGGATCACCAGGCCTAACTGTTCTTAAAGAGCCAAATTGCCGTTTGGCAAGAGCGTTGCCACTGAGATAATATCTTACAGGTTATTTCTTTCAGCGTTCCCCCACCTACACTTCCCAGCAGTGACCCAGCTTTGTATCAAGGCTTTTGAAGTGGGGCAGTTTCGAGTAGAAAATATTGTTTGGATGTCAGTGAGCTACTTTAAACCAACATACGAATACAGACTTCGATTGTTAAATATGAAGTGAAAACACCTCTGAATGAATTTTTTTGGTTCCCATCAGGTATTGAATTTCATTCCCAGTCGGCAAGGTCACACTATGAAACTGATTATATCTTGTCTGTGACAGGGCAAAGACGAGATGAGGAATCATGCATCTCCGAGCAGATCAATATCAAAACCAAGTTAGATTGTTGTTTGTTTGTTCGAAGGTATAAAAGCAATTAGTCATATTTTAAATCTTTTTAGTCTTTCTCGAGCTGGATTGTATTAAAGTAATTTGGCATTTTCTGGTTCCTCCCATTTAAGTTTTTGTCCAGTTTATACACAATTATATTCAGGCTCAATAAGAAATCACAACTAATGTGAGGATGCGTCAATTTTCATTAACCCTGGAGCTAAACTTGTATTGGCTATTGCCAGGATCACCCACACATGGGCCGCCTTCACACTGCACAAGCCAAGTCAGACTGGGGCAGACAAAGTCAAACATGTTTGAAAAATCTTTTCGAGCTTCGGTTGTAAATGAGTCGTCAGTTGAGCCAAAATCTCCGTACTTGAATGTGTTCAAACTGCAGAGAAATCTGCATCAGGCGTCTCAGTGCCACATACGGCCTCGCTAGTCTGAACAGATGCCCTGGCCTGTAAATCCTGAAGTACAACTCCAAGTAGAACGAATTAGAAAAGATTAAAAAGCTTCCTATAATAAGACACGGGACGATTGTTTTTTCAGGTGATAGATTGATAGCATTGATATGATCTATATTATAAGGTCAATTGAGAAAAATGTTACAACTTAACAAACTGAAAGAGATAAGAAAACACAAATATGCATGTCAATAGTCTTTAAGGGAGGAATTTCATTAACTGATTATAGCTAATTATGGGAAGTAATCGGCCGGGACAAGAAGCTCATGTGAGTTTGGGAAAAAAAACAAAAACTCAATTTGATTTAGAAAATGAAAGTTGAAAGATATAATTCTATTTGTTGTTTTCTTTGTGGTGCAGAGTTTACTGTATGTACAGTTGTAGATGCAGATCTTAGTCTCGGAGAGATTACCCATCTCATTAGGCAGACAATAAATCTTTATGACCTCCAATGTAAAAATACACAGCTTTACCTTTTTATTCTTTTGTTGTTTATGTTTTTTTTTTTTTTTTTTCTTTATGTGTTTCACAAAAACTCCCAAGCTAGTTGTTTGCTGCTGATTGTAAGCTTAATTGCTAAACGATTTCACAATGAGCTATGGGAATATTTATGTTGTAACATACAGTAGATGAATGAATGAGATTCTCTTCCTCTACGTAACACGGACATTGAGTAATTTGAAGCCATGAAATTAAAGAGCTGAAAATGTCACTAGGTTTAAATAGGCATTTAGTTGGCTTGTTTATATGTCTTATTTTCCTCTGTGGAGTTTAATGTTGTCGTGAAGCCTTTTTGACATTTTCCTTTCAGACTAAACATTTCAGACTAAACAATTGGCCTTAACAAGCTGTTATTTGCATGCTGTGTGCACACTAGGTGATAAGGCAACGAGCGCGGTGAATGAATGACAGAGTGCATCGGTTTCCTCAATGCAACATAAAACACAAACACAAACACAAACACAAACACACACACACACACACACACATATATATATATATATATATATTGAGAGGAAAAGAGAAACAGGTGTGAAGTAGCTGGAGCTATTGATCACGGCTGAATTCGCTCATCAGTAAGCTTCTTCGTGTATTGAATCAGATGTTGCTTAAATCTAAGCTGAAGGCTTATGTAAGATCATCAATGTCTCTGTTGTGGTTGTGTCTTTTTGGTTTTATTTTCTTTGTGCCTCAGTACTTTCCACATCACAGAAAATCTTCCAGCTTTGTCTAGTTTTAAGTCATGTCAACAAAAAAATGTTTGAGATAATGTTAATGGTCCCTGCTTGGTTCTTGATACCGCTGTCTGCTCTGACCGTCAGTCATGCTCTGATCAGTCATTCGGGCCAAATCTGTGGTGCCTGCTGACGTTAACAGCTTCTGTGTGATTTATAAATAACAGAAGGTACAAAAGATGTTGTAAGATGTCGAACATGTGTATTGTTGAGACAGCTTGTTTTGTGATTAACTGTATCAGTGATTGGTTGTTGTTCTCTAGATTGTGAGGACATGGTGAAACTAGGACAAACTAGAGTTTTTACCACTTGTTGGTCTGTTATCTCTAGGTCCTGTGGAGAAGCATGTGATGACTCACGCAAGGCAGAAGGGTTCCCTCAGGCAGAGCCGCAGCAGTGCTGAGTGGTGGGACAACTGTCCTCTTTGGCCACATGGTGGCACTATGGGTGGCGCCTGGCCTGAGCGCTCACTACGATTCGGCAGGACAAAGAAGATAGGTGAGATCATCAAACAAGGCAAAGACATGGCCAAAAAGATGACCCACAAGAGAGGGCGAAAAGAAAAAAAATCCAATCAGAACAGAAAACTTGACCGGCGGCGTGACAAGAAACGGGACAGGAAGTTGTATCCCTTGCGGGGGAGGGCTGGGGGTTCAGGCGAGGAAGGGCTCAGCTGCCATGTCCTCCTCACCCGATTGGAGGAAAGCATCCGTAAAAAGGAGAATCCTGAAGAAAGGGAAGGAAACAACGCACGCCGACATTTATCCCGGAAAGCAAAACCCAAAAAAGGGAAAAGCAATGAGAGAAGAGAGTCAAAGACATCACCAAAAAACAAATCAAAGTCAGTCAGCCCAAGTCATGGTGAGTGTATTCATGTCTCACAACCACGCAAGCGCCGACTAGCCTCTCTCAATGCTGAGGCAGTGAACAGTCTACTGCTTGAAAGAGCGACTGACCCTCAGCCAGCAGCGAAACAGGCCAGGAGGCAGGAAGAACCCACAAATGGAGGGGGTTCCCCGGATGCAGACCCAGCCAGAAGTGGTGTCCCTGGAGGTCTGAAGGCTTCACGTGGCAACATCAGTAAAGTCTCCACGTCTCACAGACTTGAACTGTGCCAAAGCTCTAAGCCAGTCAAGAAGGCCAAAGTCAACCGAGGTGATGAGAGCAGGGGGATGAGTCAGGAGAGTCTGGATGCCCCCGCTCCCAGACGATTGGCTGGACTAAACGCTGCAGCCCTGCTGAAGTTAACCAGCTCCTCTGCTACCAGTAAGCAGAGAGTAAAGGCTGCACCCACAGCTACTATCACATCAGACTGCAAGGCTCCAGCTGCAGTCTCAACCCCAAAACAGCACACCAGAGTCAAACTCAAACACAAGGGGCGATCACAAAAGCAGAAGGGGAAAAAGGCCCCTCCCCTGCACAGTGGCTGCACAGCCTGCAAGAAGAAGGCAGACTTTGAGCCCAAAGTGGAGTGGGAGCCCGGCAGCTGCACCCATAGACTGACCAAACCAGGCTACCAGTCACGCAGCATGCTAGCGTACCCGCTGAAGCAAGTGAAGGAGGAGCAGCTGGAGACCGAACTGAGCCCATACTACTGCTGTCCCCCAGAGGGCTCAGTGGAATACTGCCACCGCTTGGCCTTCTTCCTGGGCCAGCAGCCCTACGGAGAATCAGACGATCAGCCTCTTAACACAGCCATGACCCCTGTGAAGCGCGAGTGCCTCGTAACCTCACCGTCCCTGACACATTCCCACCCGCATACGGCCCTGGCCCTCAGCCCCCACCCCTGCCTCTGCACTGCTGACCACTGCTTCTCCAGCTACTACGTGCACATCGCCCACCCGACACACACTGGAACGACGTCACCAACCCTGGGCTCGCGACCTCTGAACTTTGCCCCTTCCAGTTTGTGCCCTAATCGGATGACTGGCTCCAAGCTGCTGGACCCGCGGGTGTCCCACGCCTCAGGGCTGACTCACCCCGCCTACTGCAACTCTGTGGCTTCGCCCTGTTATGGTGACGCCTGCGGGATTAGTGGCTACACCTACAGAGCCATGCCTCCCGTCACCAGCAGGGGTTGTTCTTTCAGCACAGGATGCACTGGATGTACACACGGCATCAAAACAGGTGAGTGAAAAATAGAGACTTTCAGCTGGAGCAAAGCGTTTAAACCCTCTCAGGGTTTTAATTGGAAAAAAAAAAAGAAGATATAATTCAAATAAAGACAGTAACCGAAGGCCAAAGGAGCTGATGCGAACCCCCCCCCCCCATTGATATCAAGTTCATTGTTATTTTGCTGCTCTGGTTCACTCATCTAAAGCCTTCTGTATAGCTATTATTATGAAAGAAACCCTTATCCCAGTGTTATGCTTGGATCGAGTTATTACTTAAAGAACTTAAGATTCCTTTGTTGTTCAATTTGTGCCTCAAGCTAGTTGTGTGGCCCAGCAAGTGTGAACATTTCTGTTTTTTGTTGTCTGTTTTTGTTGGTATGAGCTTTGAAAGTGTCCATAGCCTGAAGCTCTGACTTAATTACTTCTTGATAAGGAGGCGCATATGTAAAGTTTTCTGTAGCATCAGTGTTATATATATAAAGGGCCTGATGAATAAGATAAGAGAGGCAGGTTGTTTGTAAGCTCATCTGCAGGGGAACCAGGCAATTTTCTCATTTTAAGGTTAGAGTAATGTTTGCTGAACAACAGCACAGGATCACCTACTTCAATTTTACTGTCATGAGCTAACACTAGCCACCATTAGCTACTGGTCATACCAGACCAAGTAAGGCTGCAGCAGCAGAACACCTGGGCGTATTGATTTATGATGAAATCAGCTTTTCATCTCATCTGTAAGACTGTATTATTTCATCTTTCAACATTTACAGTGTCTCACTTTAAGTGTGATTTCCTTGCTGTATTATTTAAAAGTGTTACTTTTACCCTTTACTTTTCCAGAGGGTTACTCCTCCCCTCAGGGTGACCACAGCCCGTCTCTTCTGGTTCCCCCCTCCCTGCCCATCTCCAGCTGCCCTCTATCCAGCGTGCCCACATCCACCCAGACTAAACCCCACCTGCTGACTCCCCTGTCGGGGCGAGACCAGCCCCAGGCCAGGTTAAAGCTGGCCAGGGAATGCCCACAGAGCACCAAGCCCTCCAACGGCTCCCTGTCAATGGGCCGCACACGGCTGCCTCAGAAACAGCCGTCACCTGTGCCAAGCCTCAGCAGCAACAAGCAAAAGAAAGTCAGCCGCAGACGTGCCACCAACGGCTGGCGGCCCGTTGGAATTCCTACAGAGAGGGAGGTCTTCATTGCGGTACGTTATGTGTGAGTGTGTCTGTGTACAGTGAAGATGAGCTGCGGATCAGAGAGCTTCTTGTCTGGTTGTCTCTCTAGTTAGACTTACTCTCTTGTTTACCACTACCTAATAAAACCCTGGTAGTAGAAACCTCAGCGTCCTCGCTGCTGACTGGCAGAAAGGGAAAAAAAAAAAAATCAGCTCTTGGGGGGGAAAAGATAATTGTGTTTTGACCACACAGTTTTGTGTGACAGATTCCTTTTTGTCTTTATAATGAGAATTATATCCGTCCTTGTCGGTGTGTACGTGTGCATGTGTATGTGTCTGTCTCAGGGAGAGGATGAGACGGCCCTCCGGCAGTGTTATGAAGGAGTCGAGAGGGATGGTGAAGTGATTCATGTCAGAGACACCGTGCTGCTACGATCGGGCCCCAGGAAGAAATCCCTTCCATATGTTGCCAAGATATCAGCGCTTTGGGAGGACCCCAAAACAGGTAAAGGAGATGAGGAGGAGGAGATCACTGTAAGATACGATGGATTGTGTGCATGGATGGATGGATAAAGGAACATATGGCCAAGGTTGTTTACCTGTACCTAATGTGTGTCTCAATTTGCTGCCTCAGGAGAGCTGATGATGAGTCTTTTCTGGTACTACCGACCTGAGCACACCCAGGGAGGCCGAGATCCCAGCGCACACTGTGAGGTGAGGCTTGAATGGAACGGGGCAAAGATTTGATTTTTCCCAGTGGTTAAATGACAGTTGTGCAGGAAAACGGTAACGGGCCACTGAAAACCTCTGTGTGTTTGTGTGTGTGTGTGTGTGTGTCTGTGTTCGTGTCCGTGTCCGTGTCCGTGTCCGTTCTCTTAAACACAAATAATTTTAACTGTAATTAAACATTAAACAAATATGTGTTTATTAATTTAATTAACACAAAATGATTTAATTAGTGTTGTCTCAGACTTTTATTGATACCCAAAGGTGCAATATTACAAAAATAACACATTATGAAAAAACTAATCATATAAATAAATAAATAAATACAGTCAAAATATAGAATAAAAACTGGAATAATTGATACATTTTAAAAATTCAGCTCATTATTATGAAATGTTATTTCCTCCTGCTTCCTTTCACAATAGCCGATTATGATGCAAGTTATTTTTATTCAGTTGCTGCAGTTGTGATTTAAAAATACCCTCTTTTTTTTTTACAGCGCCATTTTCCCACAATGGATATTTTATTTCATAATCTCACTGAAGTCTTTGTCAGTCAAGACAAACTGAGGCAGTGATCTAAAATCTACAATAAACCTTTATTGTGAAAAGACTCTGGATAAACAAAACCTTTCATAGTAATAAGCTGAGTTTTGACAGTATCTTGGATTGTATAATATATTCAATATTTTGCTTGTATTTATTGATATGATAACTTAACTCACTCTCCACAGGTGTTTCACAGAAAATATTGGCATTTAAAATTTTAAGCTAACATATCCAGATAGTGGGAGTCCAATTATACTGAACACATAAGAAAAATAAAGACAAATAATAATTTCACTTTCACTGCGTCTTGATAAAGAGTTGGCTTCCTTTCTTCATGTCTAAGATTGTGGTAACATTTCCTCCTGCTGCAGCTGCTTATATAATGTTTTAGAAACAATTTAAAGTTATACCATGTGAAATTCTTAAAACTGTTGTAAAGACATTTAATTCGTTAGGGTCCTGATATGAGTAATGTGCAAGGAGCTGAACAAAACTGGCATCTATGCACAAATATTTGACACCGACTTTCTGCTGGAGACATCATTATCTTTCCCTCAGTAGACCTGGAGCTGTCGATAGCTGGTTAGCGCCTCAGCGTAACCACGACACCAGATGATGATACTTCTGCCACCTCAGTCTCAGTCTAAGAGAGGAGAAAAATTTCACCGTTAGAAAGTGAACACTCTTCGTGTGTCTGTTCACGATGGATGTTTAGAGCATGTCTTGAGCAGAGCAGGATTTCTGTGTGTGTGTGTGTGTGTGTGTGTGTGTGCGCGTGCGCGTGCGTGCGTGCGTGCGTGCGTGCGTGCGTGCGTGCGTGTGTGATGGCACACGCGGTAGAAACACAGGCACAGTCCTATTCTACATGAACAATTACGAGTCCCTCTGTGCTCACAGTCGAAAGGCGTTGTCATTTCTTCAGCCCTCAGCCTCCACAATAGGAAACACTTGTGATGATGTGACATTGTACACCCACTGTTTGTTTCAGAATGAGATTTTTGCCTCTCGGCATCAGGATGAAAATAGTGTGGCCTGCATAGAAGACAGATGCTACGTTCTCCCACTAGCCCAGTACTGTAGGTAAGTACACAAACTCTCACACACACACACACACACACACACACACACACACACTCACACAGAGAAACAGACAACAGCAGTAGTCGTTAGCAGTAAGTCTATTCAGAAGATTTGCTGTCTTTCCTTTTAATTAACACCTCAGCTTCTGAGATATGCGGAAGCCTGTTTTTCTGCCTTTATCACACATCGGTGACACTGCAACTGTAAATTAATTTGAGGGAACACTTGGCCATGAACATTTGCCTAGACATCGTTTGAAAATATCAGTTTCAAGTTCAGTTGCTTGTACTGTTGAAATAACTGTACAGTAGCATAATGCTATATTTAATTTATGCTTGATTTCACAGCAGGTAGTTGAGACTGAGAGTATCACCCTTTTTGATTTTTTTTTTTCCCCCTCCTTTTTCCTTTCCTAGATTTTGTGCCTTGGTGAAGCGGCGTGCCGAAGGCGCCCCACCTGGCAGTGCCAGCATGGTGCCCTGCCGCCCCGACTTCGCCCCCCCTTCCCACCGTTGTGTGCCCATAGACGTCGACCCTGAGCTGGTGTATCTCTGCCGGCACGTCTACGACTTCCGCTACGGACGCATCCTGAAGAACCTGCAGTAGAGGGTGGAGGGGTTACCGCATCTATGAATTAATCATCACGAAGCTCCCCCTCCTGCTCAGCGGGGGAGCTGGAGGACAGAACTCCCCGGTCTTTTCTGCTGGGGACCTCACGATCAGAGGGAAGGGGGCTGATGGGGGTGGGGCTGGTTTTGGCCAGGGACAGATGACGCAAAAAGTGTTTGAGACACATTATGAAGCACAGATCCCTTTAGTCGAGTACAGAAGGGGTTACAATGTGATAGATTAATCCATCTCAGTCAGAGCACCAATATTTCCTGGTTTGGAAGAGTGAGGAAGGAACTTTTTTTGTTCTTCAGCTTGGATTTTTGGACACAACACTCTGAGGTTACATGGAAGTGTGTGTGTGTGTGTGTGTGTGTGTGTGTGTGTGTGTGTGTGTGTGTGTCCCCTTTGCCTGCCGGGAATGATGAACACCAGGCTGAACTGGGCTACCGTCGGGACCGCGTTTCCCCCACAGCATCTTAGCACAACAATCATGTTTGTTCCATTTGTAAGCCAATGGCTCAGGGATGGTCCGTTGCTAAGGTGCTTCCGGGGGAACACAAGCCTGCACTGTCAGCTCAGTGTTAACGGTGTTCAACCAGCCAGGGCGAAGGAGCAGCTAATGGAGAGTGTCGTCTTATTTCTCCTGATTTGAGTTTGTCTCTGTGTGAGCGTGTGTGTGAAAGAGAGAGTGGGAGAGCGAGTGTTGTCAGTGTGGATAAATGGATAAATGTGATGGTTTTTTAGGAGGCTTTCAGGCAATCAAACCAAACAAGCAGCTTTAGAGGAAGCGGGGCTCTCTCTCTCCCCGTCCTCTCTCCTGTGTGCCACAGCGCACTGACACTGACAGAAACATTTTCATCTCTGCGCAAACTAAAATACTGTACCTGAAGTGGGCATGTGAGACAGATCTTTCCTTACCAAACTCAACTCTAGAGCAGGGCTTCTTCAAGGTGGGGTCAGGACACTAAAAATGGTTCTAAACTGATTCTATTAATGAAAACACACACACATGACAAAAGCCCCAGTGGATCTTCAAACTGGGTTTTCATCTCAGCCACAGCCCCAGTTTGAAGAAGCCTTGTTCTAGAGCGGCTCTTTTGAGGGTCCAATGGAGAGAGGTCTCGCTGTGGAGTGGAGACCCTCCTTGGCCTTGTGAAGGCTTACCAAGGGGAGCGCCGTTGTCCATTGATTTTTGTTTGTTTTGTTTTTTTTGTCATATTTTTTTTTACCTTTGCTGTTCCCTGTGACTTGCCTTATGACTTGCAGGTAGAGCTTTAGGCAGCTAGTCTCACCACATATGACTAGGAAGTGGTAGAATGGGTTTACTGTTCTGTACTGAAGTAGGTTTTTGTTGACGATCGACTGACAGCTGTGACATGATCACTGGAGACGCACATTGGAAATGCACAGGTTAGGGCTGCAACTAATGATGGTTTTCATTATCTGTTCATCGTTCTGTCTATAAAGTGTCACAGAATAATGAGAAGTGGCTGATACAGTTTCTTACAGCCCAACGTGACATTTTCGAGTGTCTTGTTTTTAACCAACAGTTCAAAACCCAAAGATAATCTGTTTTTTTCCATCATGAAAAACGTAAAGTCTTCATATTTAACCGGCTGAAAACATCCTTTTTTGGCTTTTTGCATTATAAATGGCTCAAACAATTATTAGATAATCAAAATGGTTGCAGATTAGTTTCCAGTCAGTCGACTACTTTTTGCAGCTCTATACTGGTTAGAAACACAGTGCACTTTTCATGTTGTCAAGCTGCTGCTCACCATGCGTCCTCAAGTGTCGCACCATCTGGGAAATGTCTATTCTACCCGTTTTAATTCTACACCCACACCGACCCCCCCCCAAGACAAACCAAAGGATGTCACACAAGCCAGAGTCCCCGTCTCCTCCCTCACACTTCTTCTTCTCAGCACTTCTGCCCTCGTCTCCTTGTTATATTGCACTAATCCATTACTTAATTACAACAAACATGTTTTTTTTGTTTTTTGTTCTAGCTACTAATATTTTCCCGGGGGGAACATAGTGTGTATGATTTACGTGTTTGTGTTTCGTCGGGAAGGAAACAGTGAAGATGTCATGGCTGCTTTTGTTGTCAGTGCAAACTGTATATTTCTATTCTTTCACCAGTAGAGGAGTCGGCCAGCGTGTTTGTCATGTTACCTGATGCACAACCTGTTGAATCCCATGGAATATATACAGTATATATATATGTATATATACATATATATATATATATATATATATATATATATATATATATATACATATACATATACATACATGGCTAGAGTCATTCCATTTGATTTTTCAATCAGCTGACATACTTATATAAATATACAGTATATATGTATGTATGTATCCACACTGTTAATGTGATAAGATTTCTAAAAGGCATCTGGATGAGGCCTGACTCGCTGTGCGGAAAAACATAGCACCATGTTAGACGTGTATTTGGATTGAAGATAGGAGGGGGGGAGGGGGGCTGCGGGTGGGAATGTGTGGGGGAGGGTGTTTGATACTTAATTGAGTTGTGGTGGGTTTCAAACCGCACTCTTTCATTGCCTTTTAACCTGCAAGTGTTTTACTGTCACTCAGAAAACGAGTAGTGTCGGAGTGTGTGTACCTTTTTTAGAAACATAAAGAGTACCCGATTGCTTTCCTACGCAGCAAACGCCCTGATCTTCAACATTGGATAAGCCGTAAAAGTTTTTAACACTTTAAAGCCATCTTTAACCTTTCCTCTATTTGAGCAGCGGGACTCCTAACCCAGAACACAAAATCAAATCCTGCTCATTGGGTTTTTTTATTTCTATTAATGCCCAGATTCTTCAAAGAGGTAATATATATTCTCCTACTTTACAATTTCTCCTTATTAAGAATATTTTATTATGTCGATTTCCTAAGATGGCATATGCAATATATTTTTAGACTTACTATTTTTGGAAAATGAACTTAACAAATCAAGAAAAGAATATGCATTATTTTTTATTTTGTTTCAAATTAGTTTTAAATCATCACAGCGTTAATTGAGATTTGACCACATGAAAGAAAGAGGAGAATGAGGGGAGGTGATGCCATCGTCTAACCTGAGGTTGTTGGTCATTAGCAGCGAGAAACTCCCTTCCAGGCAATTTCTAATGAAGTGTACATATCTGAATCCAGGAAGCACCGGGCACTCTTTAAACAAGCAGACAGCCAATGCACAGTGTAGTATTTTTGCAAGATCTGTAATAATTATATTTAAAGTAAGAAAAAAAAATATTTAAATGGAGTAAACAATACAATATATTAAGATTTCAATTTAACTTATTTGGAAATACTGTGTCTAATTGATTAACTATATCCTGTTTCTTTGTGCTCCAGGATTGAAATGAGTTCTGTTTATTTGTAACTTATGAGTTTAGAGATTAAATGATTGAGTGGCGGTTGTTGAGATGTAAATGTTGTTTACTTTCTATCATTTAGTTGTCAGGGGGTGGAGTCCAGACCAACGCACACCCTGGCAGACAGGAGAGCAGGAGTGGTCACAGATCGCAGGCAAACACATTGATCAGATTCCCCTTTAAGATACTTAAAAAGTCAAGACTCACCTGAGACCTGTGGGACTTCTAGCTCTCCTGCCCAACCTGACTGACCTTAAGTGTGGCGTCTGGGAGAATGCCATGGCAACATGGTCACCTGAGCTTGTATTGATTCGTCCTATTAGGAGAGAGACAGAGAGGGTAGACCTGAGACAGGACGAGACGTCTCCTCAGGCCCAGAAGACGAGTTTACCTTCTCTAAATTTAGCTCTATATTATAGAGAGTGGCAGGAATAAGGGACTGTGTGAAAATTACTAGGGAGGGTTGGGCAGTCAGAAAAGGTGGTTTGTGTATTTTTAATTTTAGCTCACTGTGAGTAGTGAGGGTGTTATGGCTTTTTCCTGTGCCAGAATTATATTTTTTCCTTTGTTGTTGGGCAATAATCTTGCATTGCTAAAGTCAATTTTTTGTTATTTTTGCCATAAATATATTATTTTGAGGCAGGGTTTTGCCTACTTTTTAGGGTCCAAAGAAAAAATTGATATTCCTTTTTAAATGGAATTGAATTGCCCAAATTAATTTTCATACAGTCCCTTATTTCAGTCATTAAAGCAGCATGGTTTTCTAGTGGGCTGAGTGGAAATTTAGTAATTTTAATATAATTAATGTGTAATCAAATTAAGGATTGACTGAACAGCTTTTTCCTCCAGCCTAGTCAGCTGGCCACCATTGCCTTTCTCCCAGGTGTGCATTGATGGTGTTTGGCCCCTAGAGGGCAGGAATCCTATGAGTGCAGAATGGTCTCACAGCCATATCCCAGCACTGTTCAACAGTTTCCTCCCCGCGTCCTTTTGCCTTGCACTGTTATCTTTTGGCTACAGAGAGAGATGCAGGAACTTCCTGGAGGTTAAGCGAGCTCAGTAAGGAGGTTGCCATGAGTCATCCTCCCAAGTGCTGGCCAGCCCTGCAAAGAGCATGGACTCGATTGAATGTTATTATTAACTTAATTTCCTAGCAGCCTTTGCATGGACACAGTTGCATCCTCCGTTACCATGATAACTGGGCAGGGCCGGCACTCAGGAGAAGGTACCTCCTTGTGTATGTGTGGAGCCCAGGGTGGATGGGGGTCAAACACTGAGTGACCTTTACTGATGCCGCACAGGAAGTGTGTTCACTCCGTGAGTCAAAACACAAGCACCCGACCAACCCATGAGATTCTGCTTTCTGTGTGATCTGTATTGATGCTTATTGTCGACATATATTTTGATATATTTGGAAAGAACGGGGGATATACAGTAAAAAGTCTAGATATTTTTGGAGTAGAAACGCAATGTGTGTAGGCTATAAGATTATTGTCACTTTGTCATTCTCTCTGAAAATCTCTTGGATTTTTTGGAAGAATTATATAACATCCCTACTGATTTAATGTTCCATTGAAAGAATATTTATAAATTTTAAGTCCTTTGTGAAAGTCCTGTCTGTGGGTTTTTATTTCACATGTTTTTAAAGTGACCTGTAAGATTGTTCCAGCATTATCTTCAGTATTTGGACACGATTTAGACAGCAGGTAGCTTTCAATGGTCACCTTAATGTTTCTTTAAATTCCTCACCAACAAGTTAAATTTTCCTTTCAAGGGGCACCTAACTTCAGTGTTTGTACGAACTGTCTTTCTATTCTATATGACATTATGCTGTATTAGAGGGGAACTGTTCTCCCTGCGTGTCTTCAATAGGAAGTCAGTGAATTTCCTTCAGCAACCAGCTGTTATGCAGTACAGTATCCATAGGAGGTCAGCAGTGAGACAGTGTGCAGAGGTCAGGGTCAGACCCTCCGTGACCTCCGCATCTAGGTATTAACCAGGACATACACTGGTCATCTGATCATCTGATAACTTTAACACAAGAGGATGCAGACTTCAACCCTCTCCCATGTTTCCTTCTCCTCACATCCCCTCTGTCAGCAGAGTCATTATCTGTCCGTGGCCTTTATCCCTTGTTCAGGCCTCAAGGCATTAGGAATGTCTAGCACACACACACACACACACACTCTCACACACACCATACAACAGGGCCTTGGTGTATACACAGGGATACCAGCAGCCAGAGAAGATGATTAGTGTCTCATACTAATATAACTAGCTGCACACTTTGACCTCAGAGGTCTGTCAGGTGCACCAGTCTGCTCTAAGACTATTGGCTGTATGTACTTACCTTCTTTATATACAGTCTGCAGGAACCTAAACAGCAGCTTAAAACTGTACATTGTTAATGCAAGTCTGCTGTGCAGTATACTTTGTGTTGTCTTGTGTTGATGCTTCACTGGAATTATGTAGGTGGATATCAAGATTAAGAATTATATATACAGTAAATCTATGTAGACACACAGCCATGTAACAGATTGTAAACAGTATATATAGTGTATGTACAGGGAAGTTACAGATAAATACTACAGATATCAATAGTTAGATTTTGGATAGTAATAATATGCAAAATTCACAGATTATGCTTCTTACACATGAATGCATCACTAATTATAATTGAATGATATAATAAATAATAATAAAACATTCATACTTCAGCACCATGAGTATTTTTAGGTCTCAAGTACATTTTGGTGATAATATCGACTTAACTGTATTTAAAACATATCTTCAGTGCAGGGTTTTAACTTGTTAAGAAGTATTGTCACAGTGTGGTAATACTAGTTTTACTTAACTGAATACCTCCACCACAACATTTACAGAAATGCATACAGACATAACAGGAAGTAAGACTTTACGAGAGGACAGATGAAAGGTGTGAAGAAGGAAATGAAGGGAAAAACATGAGAATGAGAGGAACAGAGAGTCGAAACCTGGTTCAGTTTTTTATTGAACATCCACCATGTCCCATTTACATTTGATCACTGGCTATGGTCAACAGTGCTTCACCATCTTTTATTTCAGCAAATGATTTTGTGAAACGTCAGCTAAAGAATTGTTGTGCAAAGCATTTTTTTTTTTTTTTTTTATATTGCCAGAAAGCTTTGACAGATCAGCAAAGAGAAGCATCTGGTAGAGAAAGAGTCAATCCAATGAATGCAAAATAGACAGAAACCCAGCTTACACTGGGGTAGACCCCGACACACTTGCCTAACTGGCTTTTCATCTGCTCCTGTTGTCTTTCTCTGTTGGTCTAATTACCACGTCCGGCTTATTGTCCTCTTGATGACTGTAATTAATCAAGTTCTGCTCCCTAATCTCTGAATCTCATCATCCTTACAGTACACCAGGGCTGGCCACACCGGATGGTAGCCTGATGTAAGCTCTTTTGGGGAATGTAATTGTGTGCTTGTCTGCAACTTTGTGCGCAACAGCAAATTGCGTGGTCCCACCCTGCTGTGCGCGAGTGTGTGTTTTCTCAGCACACAGGTCAGTAATTGTAACTCATCGCTTTCCTCCTCGAAGCAGTAGCTGTGCGTCTGCAGACAGGAGTTATGCAACTTATCTTTCAGGAAGTTATTGTGAAGCCTTTAATGTGAAAGCGTTTTCCCCTGTCTGAGGCTTCCCTGGCCCCTGGGCCACAGCCTGTGTATGAAGGGGACTGTTGATATTTCATTTTTGAACGTCAAAGAGCTCAGTTAAGAGACGCAACACAACCACAAAGTAATGCAAAACAAACATAAAAGAGACAGGATAGAAACACAAAGAGAGATGAAAAATGACCACAAAGAGACACGAAACGACAATAAGTGATTGCGTTGTTTGCAGTTGTTTTGTGTCTTGATCGGGCTGGGGGTCCTATTTAGGAGGGATTGGGGGCCTTTAACTTGTCTGTACCCAGGGGCCTATTTATTCATAATCCATCCATGTATACAAGACACACACATACAAACAAACAGCGTAGACTCCTACTCTCCTATCGTCTTGTCCTCCCCCTGAGCTTCAGATGGCTTACCAGGTCCTTAATCTGTCCTCTGAGTGACATCACCCTCTCCCTGCACCCTAAACACACTCCTTACAGGACACTGGGCGAGAGGGAGGGAGGGAAAACGACTTTAGGGAAGGTGAATTAGCTCAGCAGTGAAGCGTACGAGACTTAGTAGGAACACAGAGGATCACTCAGACACACTCAGGGCCATGGCAGCGGGCACAACAGAGGGGGACACACACATGGAGGAGCTGGTGGACCAGGGTCTGGGGATGGAGGAGACCGCCCACGACCTGCTGAGGAGGCCTTCACTGAAGGAGAGCTACCACAGCGATTCACTGTTGGCGCCAGACACCGACTTCATGACAGGTAGAAAACTAAGTGACCTGAGATGTTAGAGGGACGGTTCACCCCAAAAAAAAAAGATATTTTCACACTTACCTCTTGTAGTATGTAGGCATGCAGATAGGTTTGTATTTGCTTTCTGCTTTGTGTCTGCTTCACAATGCAATAGAGGTGAATACAGTTTTGTTTGATTTAGTGTGTGGTGCTCAAACCATTGAAAAATGACATTTAATTCAAGTCACGTTTCATTCCCAGAGAGGTTTATCTTAAAACCTGTGCAAATAAAACTCCAAGTAACTGCTAAATACTACTGGGGGCAAGTGACAAAACTGAACTGACCCTTTAAAGTGCTCTCGATGACTCAAGTGCATCTTCACTTGTAACAAACAAAAAGAGATGTACTTTATGCATTTCCCGTCTTTTATTACAAACTGGGTGTTCTCGTTGCTTCTGCTTTCTCATCAGGAAAAAAGAAAATCAACAAGTAAAGTAAGATGAATGCAGCATTCTGCATGTATCACTCCATGCCTGAAATCATCTTAAATCATAAAGTTATTTTAATGTGAAAGTGGTGAAAATGAGTGGCTTAGTGCGGCTGAGGTTGACCTCTTTAACTGAGACTCAAATGGCACAACCGGTGTGTCTCATCAGACTTTATATGACAATTCAATATTAACAAATTGTTCTCTGGGAAGGGTTAACACAGATTGCTACTCACACCATACAAAAAACCCTGGAGAGGCAATTTTTGGTGATAATTCAGTTTTAATTGCGATCATGACAGCCCTTCAAAACCTGTTATAACCTCATAAATAAAGTGAGTAAAAATCTTTTGTCCTCATTGTTGCCTTGTCGACAACACACATTAAGATGCCACTTACACCCGTGCAAGCAAGTCAAATTAAACACTCGTCCTGCATACCTGCCCGATGTATCACATACCGCACAGTCAGATTGTGGGTGTTATGGAATGTGTGTCGGCTGAGGAGATTTAGGGAAATTCCCCGTCCTCGCTGGGATATTAGTATCAGTGGACTAATAAGTGAAGGATTGCTTGTACACATGTGGCCTGTATGTGTCAGCATGCAGGGTGCTGATATGAGCAGACAGATGCTGTGTCTTCATTCAAGAAACACCATCTGCGAGCAGAGATTAAACACTCCGCTGCTGCTGCTGCTCTGTGTTGCACTTATGCCTGAATGTATTTTCATTTTGCCAAGATGCATAATAGGCATTATGAATTCTGAGACATTTAGCACCGCCGTGGCTCTGTGTATATGTGTGAACGTGAGTGTGTGAGTCACGGGCACAGAGATAACCTTAATGCATGTATTTGTATGTGTGTTTACGTTTGCATGACAGGCGTCCAGGGAGCCTGCCTTTTCTTTGTATAGCTGAGTTAGTGCAGAGATTGAGCTTTGGGCTGCTAATTCCCTTTTACAGCATTGGGATTATGTGCTATTCTAATCCCAATCCCATATGGGGTGTATGGAGGAGGCACGAGGATGATGTCACGGCCAGGACAAGAGGAAACACAGAGAATCACAGGCCTTCACAGTCACAACTCACCATGAGAGACAGATTACAGCTGGCTGCATGCTTGAATGATTATACTGAAAGTCTTTGCCCACAGCAGATCACCGCTGTCAGGAGGACGTCCTCGTTTCTCAAAAGATTTACAGCAAGCAGGGAGTGACAAAAATGTATTTTAACACTGAACATCATGCATTTTACAGCAGGTTTTGAGGCTTTATTGACACTAAACTCTATTGAATTTAATTATTAATGATATAACGGTAGATATAATAAAGAATGCTACAATAGTTTTAAATAAATTAGATTTACTTTCATTCTACCGCTTGATGTGAGAAACTGGATGTAACTTCAACCATTTATCCATTACTTTTCAACAATTTCAACTGTATATCCTAGTTAACTTTTAAGATGTTTATCCATTAGTTATAGCTAACTATTTCAATCATTTATTCATTTTTTTGATAATTTTTCAACCGTCTATTACTTTTGACCCACGATTTCAATTGCTTATCCACTCGCTACTTTACTTTAAGTTAACTTTTTCTTGTTTTAGCTATAAGCTTCTTTGCTTTTTGCTATTTCAACTGTTTATCCATTAGGCTACTTTTAGCTAACTATTTCAACTATTAATTTAAACCATGTCATTATTTTTACCTACCTCAACCATTTATTCGTTACTTTAACTATTTCAACTGTTTACCCATCGTTTTCAGTTAACTATTTCAGCCATTTATTCAGTACTTTAGTCAACTTCTTCAAGCTGTTTATCCATTACTTTTAGCTAACTTTTTTCAACCATTTGTTCATTGCTCTTTCAGCCATCTATCCATTAAATTTATCCATAACTTTATTTTAGTCAGTTACTTTTAGTTACTTTTTACTGTGGATATATTGTTAAGCGTATTAATATTTGAATTTAATCAGATGAACTACTCCACAGTCTTTCCACATACGCCTCGGCAACAGGAGAAATGACAAACCTTAGCGTACAAATAACCTCTGGTTGGGAATCAGTATTTTTGTTCAAGTAAAAAAAAAGAAAAGCTGATCCTTTCAGTGTGTTTTTTTTTTAAACCTTAGTGTCCACATTTCTACTACAGTGAAGCATGCACTGGTTTTTATCTGGCCTCCCTATTACAGAGAATGACCTGTGGCCTCTGTAACACTGCGGCTGTGTGAAGATGAAGATGTTTACAACAGCACATCACAAGACCAGGCCTCATTTCAGGTTTATTCCTGCTGTTTCCTCTCTGTGTCTCATCTCTCATAGTGACAGAGGACTTATGGGTGGGGGCGGGGTCAAAGAGGCTCAGTCTGAGGGATTATCATTGCAGTCTGCACACACACACACACACGCACACACACACACACACACACACACACACACACACACACACACACATGGAAGTACACGTGCACAAACAATTTAGGCTGAATTGGACGACTGCTGAGATTTTAAGCATTATCAGCCCCACCCCCACCTTTACACATGCACACACCCTAAGCAAAAGGGCTTTAAGCTCTGTCGTACACATCTCTGTGTCCCAGAGTGAGTCGGACGACCACCGTGGAAATGTGAGAGGATCAAAACATCAGACACCTCATCTCCTGCTGCAGATGACTGGATGCTGTGGACAAAGACAGACAAAATACCAGAAAAGGGCTGATCTGTAGTGTGTGTATCTGTGTGTGTGTGTTTGTATGTGTGTGTGTGTGTTTGCGTGTGACACAAGCGGAGCAAAGTGCCATGAGATCTTAGTGGACAAAAGCCAGTGACTCAAAATCAGATGGAGGGAGAGCCAGCCGATCTTAGAGGAGGAAAAGGGAGCGAGAGAGTGTGCTCACGAGAGGAGAGGAAGAGGAGGAAGACGTCTGGGGCGTCGGTGGAAGGCCCAGCCGCCCAGCAGAGGCACCCTGACGGCTCATCGGCGTCCAGTGTCTTCCACGGTACCCACCTCTGAGCTGTTGTTACTGTTGCTGGTGATGACCAAGGTGTACTGAAAGAGAAACTAATAACAGTGTTTTGCATGTGTGTCCAGCTACCTTTGTTTACATGCTGCTGTGTGATGACAGTGTGGTGTGGATGATCTGCTGTGTCCAGCTGTGCTGTGACCTCATTAGCCTGATTTTAGCTGTACGAGCATGAACAGAGGACGCTATAGAGCTTATTCCTTTCTCTGATTACATTGTAGATAATACCTCAGTTGACGTTCTATGCTACTATTTTGGCTTAGTCATGGAAGCAGTTTTGTTATGTTTTACTCCCTTACCAGTCCGTCTCTTACATTACAGTTTTTTTTTTAGTGAGCAAACAGCTGTCTGACTTTGTGATGTCTTTCATACTGGAAAGATTCTCTCTCATCAAAACTGTGGTTTCAGTATGAGTCAGATACATATTCATTTCTTCCTTATCCCCCCCCCACGGTTATGTATCTAACCGTCACCCTCTGACTGAAGCCTCAGTTGGTTAACAAGGTTTTTCTGATTGTTGCACTTTCTGTGATTTTTGAGAGTGCTCTTTGTTTTGTTCTATGAAATCTGCAAATTTGAATATATTTAGACATTTAGACAAGATTTAGAGTTTGACACGTTCTTTAAACATGTCATCAGTTATGTATTGTTGTTGTCCAGACTGAAACCTGTCACTCTATCTATCTATCTATCTATCTATCTATCTATCTATCTATCTATCTATCTATCTATCTATATATATACCATACACGTCCTGTTTTCTATCATTCCCTCAGATGACCGCAGTTCAGCTGCCAGCGGCCTGGATGTGGCCGACCGGCTGACCTACCTGGAGCAGAGGATGCAGATGCAGGAAGATGAAATCCAGCTGTTGAAGATGGCTCTAGCTGATGTCCTAAAGAGGCTCAACATCTCTGAGGAGCACCAGGCTGCTGCTGCCGGCAGGAAAGCACCGGGTGCTAAAGGTGAACAAAGATCTGTGTGTGGATTATTGTCATTATCCTCGTGGATGTTCATGTGCACAGCAGCTTTTATCTTGTAAACTTGCCCTGTGTATTGATTTCTTTTAGCTTTACTAATGCATTAGCTACAGTAAGCCAATGTTGTAGTGTTCTGTACGTGCATCTAGAACCTGCCTGTGAGCAATAGTACTCTGTAACATTGGATAATCACATATAGTTGTCAGTGTGTCATAGCCAACAGGCATGATGCATTTACTGTGCATCAATACAGAAACAAGACATGATTTATAGTGAAAGGACTGTTATTGCATCATTTGTTTATAATAAACCTTACCGTTATTATTTTATATGTAATTCTGAAGGATGCTCGCTTGTTTACCTTTTGAGGTGATGAGATACAACAAAATGGATTTTATACAGATCACAATTGAACACGTTACTATGTGTCTGTGTGAAGTGTTTGCTCGTAGTGAGGAATCCAGATTTACAGGTAAGATTAAAAAGAAAGAAAGAAAATAGATATAATAATTATATAATTACATCCTTTTACACACCACACACAAGCACATACATTATAATCAGCCTTGTGTGTGTGTGTGTGTGTGTGTGTGTGTGTGTGTGTGTGTGTGTGTGTGTGTGTGTGTGTTCCCACAGCCCGGCCAGTGTCTCTGGCTCTGCCCTCCAGACCGCCCATGGTGATCTCGAGCTCTGCCTCCCTGAAGAAGAGCTCCACGCTGCCCTCCAGCTCCAGTGCCAGGAACTACAGCCCAACACCCCCCCGCAGGTAAAACACTGCTCCTCCGTCCTCAAGCTGGAGGCTTGGTGATCTCATGAGACAGTCTCAGAACCACAAACAAGAGTAATATCTTGTTTGTTTTTTTTAATGCTCTCTGTTTTATCAATAGATTTCAGTTTTTTTTTAAAAAAGCTCGTCATTACTCTTATTGAGAGAAAGCCGTCAAATGATACATGAGCTTTATCTGTATTTGCCCTGATGAGCAAAACGCTTGAATTGTCTCATTCCTGCGAGCTCTGACAGGGCAATGAGAAAGCTACTGCATACAGTTTGTGTGTTTTACTGTAATGAAGCAGCTGCCAATGAAGCTTCACCCACCGATCTCAGTTCCCATCATCGTATGTGCAAAACCAGGACACTGCACATGGATGATCAACAATTATTTCAACAATTATTCTAACACTTAATTTCAAAGCAATAAAGCAGCAAACCATTTTCTTGCACATCTCTTCCTCTCAATTACCTTTCAAATGACCCTGCCATTATATAGCATTAGTCCAAGGCCACGGTAGGTTCTCACTGTGGTACCTTAATGTGCTGCTGCTATATCTGGGGTACGCTGCTATAATTGCACAGAGAGAGGTAAATCTCCATTCACTTAAGAATGTCCGTTCAGTATGAAGTGAGAAGCACCGTCATCATTAGCAACACTGGTTCATTTCCCTCCACTCTTATTTCACCTTTTCCCTCCAATAAATAATCTAATTTTACCTTCTGTCCTCTCTTTTTCTCCCTCTCTCTCTCTCTCTCTTCTCTCTCTCTCTCTCTCAACTTTAAGTAGCCACATCTGTTTTCATTCATTGTCTTGTATATGTATTCATTTTCTAAACGTTCTTTATTTTAAACAAGTCGGGCTGAATTCCAAGAAAATGTATTTAAATTGATGCGTAACACGTTTAGATTTCTACATCTGAAATACTACAGCTGTAAAATTACAACAGCATCTCAGATTTTACAGTCGTTTTCCACTCAGTTTGTGTGATGAAGAACTGTATCTCAACACCTTGATGATGGATTATGTACTCAGCGGATTTTCAAAGACCCCCAAGAAATACAATTACACAAAACATATTGTTAAGTGGAATGGGACTTTTACAGAAAACTGGTGAAGCAGCAATGGAAGTAAACAAAAGACCATTTTTGAATTTTCCAAGCAACTGAATACTTAATATTTAATACTGCAATTTAAAAAACACTGAACAAATAACATATAACACGGAAATATTTATGTGGTTTTAATTCATATCTTTGAAATTTCCACAGGAATACATAAACAGTATTATAGCCTACACAGTACGTACAGTAAATTGGAAATTGCACAAATTACACAACTTGAGATTAACTGGAAATTCCAATTTCAAAGTAAAACATTTAAACTCTATAAATGTGGAGATTTTGAGGTTCACGCTGAATATTCAGAAATGATTAAACTTCACATTGAAGTATTCAGTTACTTACAAAATTTTCTTCAAGTTTTTCTTCGCTTTACATAAAATAAAGTAGAATTTTAAAGCCACGTAGGACAACTAAAATCAAAGGCACCACCAAGAGGCAGTGAGGGAAACATCTTTAATCTAATTCAAGTTTGAACTGCCTCAATTAACATGAGTCCTATCATATTATATCAGTAAAATGCAGCCCCTTAAACATCAAATCTGAATTTCTTCATCTTTGTGGCTGAAGGTTTGGACATTTTTGTCATTTCCTGTGCAGGGTTCAGGGACCTTTCTCTGTTGCAGCTCTAGTTTGCGGTTTAGACTGTCAAGCTGGGTGCGTTTTGAATAAAAATTGAAAAAGAAAGAGACATAAAAACCAAAGAGCCAAGATCTTAGAGTATTTGTTCTTTTCTTTCCAGCAGCGTAAAGAGCCCACCAGGTAGTGTGAAGGACAGTCCATGTAAGACTGCCAGAAGCCGACCCACTTCTGCAGCGTCAACATGTAAAAAACCTCAGGAAGGGTAAGAAGCTGTTCTTATTTCTAAATGTCCAAACACAAGACTTGACTTAGAGGTCCCATGAAAGGAAAAGTGCCTTTTCTGTGCTGATATCTTGTCGTCTGTCATTATACTGCCAAATATATTTCTAAGCTGCTGTTTCACAACATTGTCTCACCACTTAAACCTCCGAGTCCTTCCCTTTTCTCTTTCTGTTACTGTAAATGTTTTTTTTGTTTTTTTTTCCATGTACACTTCTTCCAAGCCTGGGTGTACTGCACATACATTTTTCCATTGATTTTGTGCTGACTCAGTTATTCCTGGCCGATCAAGTTGCAATCATATCTCTCAAATCAAATCAAGGTTATTTTCAACCCCAACATCCTGCTGTGATGTGAATAGGACCTTTAACTGTTTAGTCAACTTGAAACTGACACATGCGAATGCAGAGCCCTGCTACAATACTATTGTTTCTTCTGCTGAAATCGTTTTCAGATTCACTGACTCTCTCTTCCTGTGTCACTGCATCTCTGTTTCTGTCTCTGTCTCTTTATAACAGCAGCAAGTCAAAGGAGGCTGCAGTAAGTGTAGGTAAGAGAGCACTTTCTCTGTTTCCCTGCAGTGGTGTTTTTTTTCTCCCCCTCCTGTATCTGGCAGCAATCAGCCTCATAACAGGAACGTGAAACAGCTGCTGACTAAGCCTTTATGAAAGAGAAATAAGTAGAGAGATCGAGCTAAAGACTGACGTGACGGTGGTTTTTTTTGCTACATATAAAGTAATGTCAACTCTCCCTTTTTTGTGCTATTTTCGTGCAGGGACAAGACGTGTGACACACTGCAAAGGTAGGATTCGCCCCTGACAGGACAGGAAACACTTTAGTGAATTATTCTTTACATCTATAATATCATGTGAAGTTGAGAACTTTGTTTTTGAGTTGTTATTTTATGTTCATCCTTCATTTTGTCACATCTCACCATGACTTGTGTGCCCCCCCCCCCCTCTCTCTTTTTTTTTTTTTGTCTTTTTTTACTCCTTCTCTTCAAATGTCCACACTATCTGCCCTCTGGCCTCCGCTCCATCTGTTCACTCACCCTCCTCACCTCATTTCACCACTTCACTTAGTGACTATGCAGATCTATCTGAGCCCCCACGCAAGAAAGACTGGGTCTTCTGAGACCGCCAAATCAGCATCTGCGGTGCCTGCCAACAGCAGGCTCACAGCCGCACCCAACAACCCCCAGGCGAAGGCGGGCAGCAAGCCAGAGACGAGGAGGACAACCCCAACCTTCACCTTAAACCTGCAGAAAACCACAACCAGCCAGAACACACCGCAGGACACATCCAGCTACAAGAGCCCCCTCAAGTCGCCCAGCCAGTACTTTCAGATTTGTTACTGAGGCAAAAGGGATAAAGTTTACTAAACCCAAACTAAAGGCCTCAATCAACCACTTGAACAGAGAGACTTTCTACCACCGTTGAAAAAACAAGAAACTGATTTTAAATTGTGGATGAATGCACTTCTTAAACTGCAGGGATGACGTGATTTTCCTCGGTAGGTCGTCCTGACAACACGAGCACTTCCAGCTTTGTGAAACATTTCCATTAACAAGTCCGAGTAATTCAATTTGTCAGTGCAGTGTTTAATGGCGTGGTTGTTTATTCTAAGGATAGTATGAAAGCTTTAATGCGGTCTTAGAGGCTGCAGTGTAGTCGTAGATCCTTTTCTCACGTGCTTGTAGCTACCTGCTTATTATTTAAATGAACACCTGTGTTTGCTGTCAACATGCTCTTCGTCAAGTCTTCACTCTGTCTGACAGTGCGGATGTGTGTCTGTAGTCGTCTTTGAGCACTGACTGTGTGATGTCGATGAGTGTGTGTCGCAGAGTCTTGTCTCCACGCCAGTTTGCTGTGATGTTTCCAGTTTTGTAGTTGATGTTCCACCTTAGCTGATAGACAGGATGCAGCGGAATCAGCCAAGAGGTTCATTCTGGTTCAGGAAAAGCAATAAACAACTGTGTTCTGACCACGAGTGATGTGATGGATTTTTCTTTATTATACCGATAAGTGTGTGTGTGAGGGGCTGCACTTTGGCAGTAGTTGGTATCAGTTAAATTAAAGAGTTGACCAGACTAAATGAAGAGTCCCATCATGATACATTATGTGCTTCATTTTCCTGCTTTAGTTATGACTAATGAGCCCCTTTACTTTACTTTAACAAAGTGACTGCAGGGCACAATTTGGACACTTTGATGAGCAGTAAAATCATGTCATGTGCCATGAGCTTCTCAGGTGGATACACAGTCAAATGACAATGGAGGAAATACTAAAGCTGTGACTGGTACATTTTCCACCGCCACTATGAATAACACTCCACTAGATGAACTTTCGAGGATTTGAATGAAGCTCAGGTCAAGAGCTGCCTATATGTTCAGGTTCATCAGTCCCTTTGCTGTTCTGGGGTTGTTCCAATGATACACCCGTTCAGACTGGACAGAGTAAGGTGCGTCGCAGTGGGCGAAAAAAAACATAAACCCTGAGCATGCAGGAACAGTTTTAGCCTTGTTTGGAAATATTATAAAATTCATATCTATCAGTGTGACTTTTCATAAACCTGTGTGAGGCGCGATGAGGTGTGTAAGCTCCATGTATGCACAGCCTCAGCACCCTCCTGTGGAGATAGAAGCCAGAGACCCAAACAGGGATTGGAAGAAACAGTGAAAGGTAACATCATGTATTAAAGATGCACCAGTGGGTCCAGATCTACTACATGAAATGAAAGTTCCCTTTAAACAAGTGATGGACTTTTACCTACGCACCAACATGTGGCCAGTATGACCTCAAGTCTTTGCTCACCATGTGAAAGACAGAAGAAATACTTGTGCTCTTTGGGAGTTAGGAGGACCTCTGCTGGTGAGAGGGAGGAAATGCTACAGATTTGTGCTTAATGATTGAGATAATCCTGCGTTACTATAACATGGTGCCATTGGGTGTGTCACAACTGTGTATATAATTAAGAACAATACAAAAAAACATAAATTCAAATATATTTTATTATATTAAATCTCTTCTTGGTAGTGTTTTTGTTTTGTGCCAGCTTTTAACAAAGCAAAAAAACACACTAGGCTTGCATGGTTTTCATGAGGATTAAAAGGATTTTAATGTCTGAATCAGTGTTATGCAATCCACAGGAAGTGATGTGCAGGGGAAACTTTTTGGATTGTTTTAAATGTGATGTGTATTCTCTAGCTCATACATAATCAGTATTTCACTTCTTGCAAAAATAGCTTTTGAATTATGTAAAAAAAAGTTGATGGAAAGGGGGAGACACGACAGGAATGTTGATATAACACTGATTTTGAAGGTAAAAAAAGACGACAAAACCAACACCCCTAAAAGAAACTCACGTTGATCCTGATTGATTAATGTACAGTACAAGAGGGCAAGCCGACCAGCTGTGACAAGTTAATGACATAACAATTTGATATATAAAAATTATTCTCTGCTGTCCTCCATATACACTGATGGAGAGATAAACACTTAATTCCATCACAGCGTAAAAAACCATTATGTTAGTCTTGACAGTTGGGATGCAAACACACACATCTGTAACTGCATTTGTAACCCACAGACTAGTCTGCTGAGGAGGAGAGAGCGGAGCCTAAGTCATGTCCTCAGAGGAGTTTTAACTGAGTCCGTCTGTCCTCCACGTGAGGAAACAGCAGCTGGCTGTCGCAGACACAGACAGATGTTATAGCTGGTCGGGGCCTCTCTGCTGACAGGTGTGTGTGTGCCACATACACTTTGTCATTTCATACTGCATATGGTATCACTCCATGACTTTTTTCATGTTATGTTATTGTGTACAACAGCTTGTGGTAATGTTGCACAGGCTCTGCCATCAGTCAGATCCATCAGTCAGAGAGCTAAGAGGGGAATGTCACAGAGGTCAAAACACAAAACAGGAAGTGATGACACGGAAGAAGATAAAAGATGTTTTGATATAAACTCAGTACATTCCCATATTATGGAAGCATTACACTTATTTTACTGTAACTAGTGTCTGCAATAAAAAACATTTGCCTTTGAGTCACGTTTTCAATTTATTCCAGATATTTGGTAAAACACACACACACACACACATACACACACACACACACACATACACACACACACACACACATACACACACACACACACACATACACACACACACACACACATACACACACACACACACACATACACACACACACACACACATACACACACACACACACACCAATAATAATATAGTTCTGTCTCTGCAGGGTCTTAAAGGCTTAAAGTATTTGTAGTAATCATGGTATTTTATATCCAATCACATCACTGATATTCCTATGAAACTCTTTAATGTTGTGCAATGCAATAAAATAATTCTGACCCATGTTTTGTTCTGGAAACGAAAAAAAGATTTTCTTTTTTTCTTTTTTTTTGACCGAACTTTTTTTTTCTTTTTTTTTTTTTTCTCAAAGAAGTCGGTGTGCGTTTGTTTTCTACACCTGCCTGCACGGTAGCTGCATCACCAGACCGAGGGCGCTACCGTGCAGCAAAACCACACAGACTTGAATATTTCAGCAGCCTGGCCCCCGCCACACACACACACACACACAGACACACACACACACACACACACCCACCCCCCACCCCTCTCTCCCTCTCTCCATCCAGCCTCCCAGTGGTTGAAGGGAGGAAAAGATGGCACCTCAGAAGCCGCTGTCAGATACTCCGCCCGGCTTCTCGTCCTGCGGACAGCGGCGTGCTGCGCTTTGAAATGGCCTCAACCGAACCACCAGCCGCCTGACAAACACCGGGGAACAATTATATATTTTGTAAAAGACAGACCTGAAAACTGTGGGCATCCGTGTAGCATTTTCCACACCCTGTCGCCTTTTCCACCCTCAACATCTGCCCATCCAGCCGGCTGCAGGCTTCGCTGGCAGCATTGCTGTTTTTTATTAAAACACCCAAAGCCGCTGCTGCTGGATCTGGATCCTTTTTTTATACTCGAACTGAACTCAAGGGCAAAGCAGTGAGCAGACAGACAACATTATCCATCTCATTCAGACGGACAGGAGAGGAAGATGAGGTAAGCAGAAGCACGCGTTGCTCTTTAGCTGCACAAAAAGCGCAGACTGCTGTGATTCTACTGCGCATTACTCTGGGATATTAAAGGTAAACATCGACATAAGCCAGAACATCCTATTAACAGACATGCTGTTCGTTTAATGGGCGCAGCTTGGTCCAGAGGCCTGTGATGGACATGTTACCGCAGCACAAAAGGTGTATCACAGGAACACGCGCTTCTATTGACCGGCAGGTCACCTGTTGGGCGACAGATTATACACCTTTAAGAGGAGCTGGTCTCAGAGCAGCATGTTCACATTCCCACAGATGCTAACGCAGAGCGAGCAGGCTTTGATATGAAACCATCTAACATCTCTGACTCCAGCTCCTCTCTGATGTGTCACGTGGAGGTTGTCTGCAGAGAGAACGACGTGTTGTCATGGAAACCAGACTATGCTTATACTAATTGGGATAAGCATTACTATCCTTCACTGCGACAGAGATCTGATCACTGGTTTTACACAGCAATCACATGCCTTTATTCTACTTAAACACACCTCTGTGTGTGCAGCACGCGCGCGCATGTACGCTCACACACACCTTCCCAGCTGCGAACCAATCAGCTGCTAGTGTTCATTATGGCATCCAGACACAGCTGTGTCAGGGATGCAAGCACTGGGTTTACTGGCTAACTGTGAGAGCCTATCAGGTGAGATGTTACTGCCAGGGCCCAGCCGTGCAGCCAGTCAGCTGCAAGCCTGCTGCTACACAGGGTGGGTGGGGCACCAGCGTTTGGCACAGGTTCACCATGAACAGGAGGAATCCTGAGCCCACTCTAATTGCTGCTGGCACTGAAGTCTGTGTGTGAGAGTATGTGTGAGTGAGTGTGCCCCAAGGTCAGAGTGGGATTTTGCCACCAGGGTGCCTGTAGGTCAGTGTCTGTTTTAACAGTTAAACCTCCCCCCTCAGTGTCTCACTGTTTTCCTCTGTGCTGCTTCCATCTCCTCTGTCTTCTCAGCTCTATTTTATACCGATGGTACCACACACACTTTTATGTGACTTGACATGCTCTTGCGTAAGGCTCTCTGTAGTCATGTATGTTAATACTGCAGTCTGCTGAATGGAAGATGGTGAATTAGACAAAGTGCCCAGTGACTTTTACCATTTATCATCATTTTGGTCTGGCAGATCGTCACGTCAAGCACACCACAAGTTTGCAATGCCACTGTTAATTAAGCTTCATAAACAGGCAGTGAAATTTTTTTCCAGAGATTTAATAGATTTCTTTTTTTTCTGGGGCGTTCTTGCTCCTTTACTACAGGCCACGATCTCATCAACACGGCACAAACGCACTGACTGGGAGATGTACTCATACCTGTGTGGATCCAGTTCATATAGATCCATAAAACAATGCCAGTCAAAGAAGAGAATCTGTGTTTTGATCTGAACTACCCTGACAAGCTGTCTGCTGATACACTTGCTTTTTTAGTTTCTGTCTGACGGCCGTTTAAACACACAGCTGTGTTATTTACGATGAGTGATTCTGTGCTTTGCGGAGGTGCTCTGTAGGTGGCAACATAGACTGTGACTCACCACAACAAGCCAGCACCTCGTACAGTTTGTTGCAGCTCAGCTGGAATCAACTGACTGTGTCTCTGGTTGCGAGTGCACGTTTTTTTTTTTTTTCGCTTATACATTTGTACCTGCATCGGTCTCAGAGTTTGTTGTGGCTTAAAGTAAAATGGTAAAATGGAGTGTGTGTGACAGTGTCAAACGGCTGATCTCGTAGTGTGTGTGTGTCTTTGCTGCAATCCTGCTATAGTATGCATGTTAGTGGGACACAAACTGTTGTTTTGTGATGTGATCTAATGAGCATTGGCCTCGGTGCTGTGAGCTGCTGTTCAAGCATACATTA